CCTGGTTTTTGGTTCTGATAAAGTAAATTTTCATGTAGTTTTGGGATTGTCCAAGAATAATAACTGCAAACGAAACAAAGATGACGTAATGAAACTGTTATTCGTGTGATGGAAAACATATTGTATCGCAAGGTTGATGTCGATTTGAGTCCAATCCTGAGTTACTTCGCTATGAAACAGTAGAACACTGTTCATGATGACAATGTATTCTATCTTTTATGTTTCGTTTCCAGTTCAAGAGTGGAATAGAAGTGGAGCACACAATACCGTAATGTTTGAATGAGATGATTGAATAATAGCTTCTATAATTAGAGAAGAAGTTGAAGGTTTGGCGAAGCTCTTACTGAAGGATCGAAAACATACTTTTCCCTTATCGCGAGAGGCTTTGCAAGTTTCTACAAGGTCTGCGACGAGATTGCTGGACATTTGACGGACTTTCTTTGGGTCTGCGCTGAGGACCATGCTTTGTATGACGCCACGATCGGTGTATAGAGCACAGAATGGCGCGTCCGCGATCAGTTCCACCATTCTGGACATGGTGGTGTCCGCTACCAACACGCTGGACTGAGCTGCAGCGTGCCAAAGCGTTGGCATCAGTATCAACAGAATCGCGAGCATCTGCAAGCAGAGAGATTAATTAAAAAATAAGCGGATGTTTATGTATCGGGTTGTCCGCAAAGTCCATGTCGATTTTTGGTAGGTGGTACAGGTCTGAATATATCGAAGTGGTTGAAAACAAATAACATGTACACATCCCTTAAAAAGTGGAATGGTTGTGGAACAAAATGGCACCTATGTAATTCAATAAATATATATTAAAAGTCAAACGTGTTTTTGAATTTTTCTTAGAAATTGGCACAAACTTTCTGAACAACCTAACAAATTCATATTTTCATATATCCAGATTCAGAGAAAACATTGAAAAGATTGAAAATTGATACTTTAAATAAAAGTATGTCTTATCTTCTAAACAGTTTAACAAGTATTTCATCTTGAATATTTTATACATTTTTGTATTCGTTCAACATTTTGAACTAGTTTATTTATCTTCTGATTCTTTAATAAGAGTGTCATCACCTGCAACCGTGGCCAGTAGGTCAATGATTCGCAAATGTTTCGCAACATTTGAGTATCTTCGCACAGACCACTCGGGTCTGTTGAAGTTATTGTTGTTTTAACCGCATTTTCACTTGAACAAACAATTGAAAACACCGGAGATACGACACGTTCTCTAACGATATATGATATTTGCAGTCCTTCTGGGCAATGCAGCCTTCAAACAAATATCAGTTTCGAAGGAAGTGTTGTAATTGCGTAATGGTTCAGAGGAAGTCTCCCCCATGGGGTGTTCGAACGGCACGGGGCTTCCCATGATCCAGGACCAGGCGAATCTACGTCACGACGTCACGGATCTAATGAGAACTGATTGCGTTACGTGACAGAACAGCGTGACGTTTTTTTTTTTTTCTTAATCTGTCATTAATCGTTGCTCGTTGAACGCCATATATGAACAGATTGCCCCGCAGGAATTCCGGTCGCTTTAACGAGCCAGCTCGGGGGGTTGGGATCAATTAAACGTCGTGAATCGAATCGAGTTGCCGCGAGTATGGCGATTCTGCTCGAGGAATCCGTCTCGAGAATTCTCGAGATTTTTTTAGTGAATTCCCATTTCTCTTTCGGCAAGGAATCAATTTAAAAATATTCTAGGATTCTCGAGTGCTGAACGAAGTTGTTCAATCTCGAGATATGTTAGACCAAATGTGTCATAAAAGAGTTTTACTTGTTTAATAGGTTATTCCCAAATTAAAAACGTGCGATGACGATTTCCTTTTGGGTAATTACAGAAACGAGATCTGCGTTTACTTTCCAACCTTGCTCTATATGTATCAATGACGATTCTATTTCCTCCATTTCACCGCCATCAAATCATTCATTCAATGAAATAATCCCAACAAGCCAGTCAGATCAAGTTCAGCGTGCACACACTAAGATCCGTCGGCTCGCCTAAGAGTGGCTTGTTGAAAGAAAACATATTCATGACACACATTATATTCGCAACATCACATGGAATACACGTAGACAAGAAATTAATTGCAAGAAGAAACTTATTAATATACCTGATCGTTGGTACATTAACGAAAAAAGAAAAATGGAAAGAATGAATGAATCGAACGAATCAGCAATGAAAAGAACTATTTCTAATCGCACCATAAAAAATTCAAAACCACTTACAGCTATTTACAAAAATATCCACGCACTACAAAAGCAATCCGCCGAATTTAATCAAGAAATTAATTGCAAGAAGAAACTTATTAATATACCTGATCGTTGGTACATTAACGAAAAAAGAAAAATGAAAAGAATGAATGAATCGAACGAATCAGCAATGAAAAGAACTATTTCTAATCGCACCATAAAAAATTCAAAACCACTTACAGCTATTTACAAAAATGTCCACGCACTACAAAAGCAATCCGCCCAAGTCTCCGCTTCCCACACTCCAAGACCTCGTCTCTTCACATCACCCTGAATTTATTCGTCTCTCATGCAAATATCAAAAAACTACAGGAACATGTTGTATCTTCGTGGATGAAGGCATAATATTATTATTCAAATAAAATTTTGCCCATTTCTGACATCCACCCACGCGAACTTCGAAGCAGCTTAAACTTGAAACGTTTCGCGCCGCGAACAGTCGCTGTGAAGTGACTCGACGACGGGGGACGTCGAACGTCGTCTGACGAAAAAAGAAGAAAACTTGGAAACGCGATTAAGAGTCGCAAGAGGTGCCGCGTGTGATTAATAGAGGAGACTAAATGTGACGCGAATATTCGAGGCGACGAGGAGGATGGACGCGAGGCGACTGATGGTGCTTCACCTTTCTAAAGGACTGTTTCTAAAGATTTCATCAAGGACGATGTCTGGCAAGGAGATAAGGAAGAAAGACCTAAACGCTGAAGGTTTCGTACCGGTTGTCCTTCCGATCGAAAGCGATTCGAACGATCAATCTTCACGGGGGGACGTAAACGCGTGACTTCCGGTTTCATCTCGAGCGATTGTGACAGAACGGTGAATAAGATGACTCGAAAGAATTTTTCGGAGATCTCTTGTTCACTACAGAATCCCTCAACAAGTTTAGTTAATAAATGAAATTTGTTAAAAATGTGATATTATAAAACTTCAAACGAATATAACTTCTAAATTACACGTGATTTTTCTGGTAAATTATTAAAATTGCAATTTATTACATATCTTGTTCACTGATTGAAGGTAGCAGAGGTGATAATAGAAATGATTTAAACAGATCTTGACCTAAGACATCGGCGTCGTCCTTGCCACGAGGATAACGCGTTACATCATCGGGAAATTGCATTATGAATATTGACACGCAATTGAAATGGTCATTTGCATATTTAAATGGTTAGAATAACTGAAAGGCGGAGAGCACAAGTACGAAGGTTAACACCGTCCTGAGGATCGTGTATCTGAAAAGGAACAAGTGCCCGGTGAACGATGGGCAACGACCTTGCGAATGTCTAGGAGAGTCTCGAGACACGAATACGATTTTAAATGGCTTTTAAATAACCTTCGGAGATTGCGGCCGATAAGACGTGAGAAATCGACGGAGGCGTTTGTTTATTCGGAGGTATCTGCGTAGTGGATTTTAAAGCGTTTGCGTAAATCGGTACGTGGGATGCAAAATGAATAATCAGGATTCTATGAACTCTGTTCAAGGCTAGAGAGGACGATGATCGTGAAATTTTTCGAATTCACGCGAGTGGAAAATTTGTGCAGAGTTCAAATTAAAGATGCAGGTCGTAATTTTGGTTTGACACAAAAAAAAAACCAAAAGAAATTTTCACTTTCGTACATTTTTCTTTCATGTAAACTAAGGAAAACCCGCAAAAATGGTGAAATGTGAAATTACTGCAAGTTTGAAAAAAAAAGAACGAGTTCTTTGGGTGAAAAAATCACTTTAACTCGATAAAAACGTTATTTAAAATTTTTTTGTATGACTTTTCTTAGTTCACATAGAAGAAAAATCGAAAATACGAAATCGAAATCGAAAATCGAAAGTACGAAAATGAAAATTTCTTTTGATTTTTTTGTGTCAAACCAAAATTACGACCTGCATCTTTCCCGCCGATAGGAGGTTTTAATTGTGAGGTGCTCTACAAATGTGCGTCGCAGTCGACTCAATTTGAATATTTCTTGTTGAAGAAATTTGTACAGACTACTCGAATATCTATGAGAATAGGATTCTTTTCCATCTTAAAAAAATCCACGTAAAAACCGCTTTTTTTAGACCTCCTAATTCAGGATACCCCCTTAAGTGTCTATCGATAAAGCATAGAGAACTAGGAGGGCGTCCAATCGTAAATTCTGAGTAACGAATAAATATTCGAACTGAAAATAATCCACCAAGAGCAAAGACTGGAAGTACCAGTGGGGCCATTAGTTTTCGTGCTCGTCGTGCGCTGAACCGCTGTCATGGAGTAACGTAACTGATGGAACGAGAACGATAATTTAAAATTAAGTTGCGATCAATTTAAACTTAAACAACGATACGCGATAACGTTCTCAGATCGATAGGGAATTAATTCAATTAGCCCGATTAGATCGTCCCAGTTCGGGAGGGGCCGATCCTGGAAGTGTCACGCGAGGCGACCCACCCTCCAAGTTGCGAAATTGAAGCAGATATCGAGAATCTGGGTCAGCAGGGCTCGCTGACGAACTTGTCTCTTGAACCTGCGAACCATATCAGCCATACATAGACACAACCCTATAACCGTCGCGAATTAACTCGTACTCGACGACTCTGACCCACCTTCGACGCTCTGAGGGTCACTTATGCATCGTTATCATCGTCTAGCACACTTTCGTTCTCCACCCTCTATCCCCATGAATTTTATTAAGAAAGTATTTACTGATTATTTGTACATTAGTGAATTGATTAACCCTTTCACTGCCAACTACGAGATGTCTCGTAGTTCAAATTGATTGCAAAAGAAGATCGTACATTTTCTTTTTAAAGCAACAAACTTGATATCACTTTCTATCATCAATATAGTAAACTAGATCTGTATTCAATCTTGATGCCCAAGGCGCAAAACGCTTCAAATTTGCCTGGCAGTGAATGGGCTAACCTCCGAGGCAAATAATGACTGGAATCTTCAGATTTGTGTTTCTAATATTTTAAGTAGAGTTTCAGGATAAGCTAACGACGCTGACTGGCAGCTCGTTAACTACGATAAGCCAGGTATTTTACTTTCAACGAGTCATTTTCGAATTAGCTTTCTACAAATGTTATTACTAGACTGCGGATCTTTGTGCAAAATAAAATATTCGCGAACGTGGCTACAAATGTTATAACACGAACTTTACTTTCAATCTTTTTTCCATTCTTTCATATTGTTTGCACTTTGTAGGTTCTTGCACATTCAAATTTCCTATAAATGCGTAAAGACCCGCAGTCTAGTTATTACTATTTCTCCATATAAATCATTCCCGAAACTTGGAGTCTCATACCTTCTGTAAAATACTTTCTGACTAGAATACGTAAAAGCAATATATAACAATATGTACAATATGATAATACTGAAATACTGCAATAAACAACCTAGGGACCTAATTTCGAATTTCACTCCTCGCTCGAAAAAGAGAAACCAATATTTAAAAAAGAAGTGAATTTCGAATTTCACTCCTCGCTTGATAAAGAGAAACCAATATTTAAAAAAGAAGTGAATCGAGGATGATGAGCAAAGCTATTAAAATATGCAACAGCTGCTTAAAAATGAAAAGCACAGAATCCCCCTCGACACAGCAATCACTGTCCACGATACGCGCGTAGAGAACTAGGAGGGCGTCCAAGAGCAAGAAAGGATCTCGAGAAATCAGCGGAATTGGCAGCGATTTGCCAGATCGAGTACAATTCCAGAGCAGAATCGTCGCTCGTTGCGTCGTACGCGAGCCGCTTCAAAATCGATGAATTACCCTGAGTAAAGCTCGTGCACGTGCAGCAGCGTGCATGTGCGTAGACGTTGGCACCAGCTGCGAGTCAAAGGCTTTGACTCAAAGCACACCGAGGAAGACCAAGCTGGGTTTCGAACCACGGTCAACCGTAGGATTTTCGAGACTGGTCGCAAGCGACGTACAATGAAACGTTGTAGTCGATGGTATAACGCGAAAAGCACTGAAAAACGAAGCAAGGTACGCTGGGACAGCCAGCACCACCCCCGTCTGCGCACCCCCGAAACCGCAACGCGACTACGGCTACTCTGCACTGCGCAACGACCCCTCTGATCAGACGTCTACCCCTTCTACGTAATCCTTCGAAAGTCGTCAGGAAGGTGTCGAGCGGGATTTACGCGGGCAACGATTACTGGCGCCAGTAATCAGTCTTTGACACCGCTTTACTGGCACCGGGATCCTCCACAAACACACTGGACCCTCTAGAGAACAGCGGACCTTTCGACACTGATTTCTCATTGGATCTGAAATATTGGACAATGTTAGGATACGAAAGGTCGTGGTTCTTATATAGATGAGATTGAATTCATAGAAATTGTGGAATCTGGAAAACTCGGAGAAGGAAATCGTGGAGCTTGTAGAATTCGTAGAGCTTGAAGGAATTTGTGAAAAATTCGGGCCGCCTTTTGTAAACTTGGATCAGCTTAAAAGGGCCCCGTTTAGGTCCGTTTGGTCCAGTGTGTCTAGGGAAAAATTCTAGTTCGTTTATGAAGGATTAATAAACTCACGTTATTCGTTGTTGCGTTCCTGTGCTCGCATTCGATGGGCCTGCAAGTGTGCGTACGTCCAACGACGATGTCGTTGGATGTCCTCGAGAACAATACTCGCTTTGTCTCTCCTCAGCGGCTGCTATCAGACTGATCGTTGAAACGGATCGTCAGGATACTAATATTCAGGGGCATAGATATATGAACCCGTGGTCCAGATGCGTTACACCGGGGAGACTCTAAATCACGTGATGCGTCGCATGTTTATAATTATGTAACATATAACCACCCGCTGCAAAATAGATCGGATTAATGACTCGTCGTTGAGCTAGGACAATCCAACAGAGCTGCGCATTCTACGAAACGTGATTTTAACACCTTGTACCGCGGAATATTTGCGAGCGATATTGATATAATACAATGAGATATTTAACTGAATTTTCGTTATTCGGAAAATTCAGTGATGAATTTCTTTATTCTTATTAAAATATTTAAGATAAATGATAGAAATATGCTGTATATTAATACGTATTTGCTAATTATGTATATCTTTTCTTTGTACGTAAAAATAAATAGAGGTCGCAACAATTAAATTGTGTTAGGTACTTAAATCGAGTATCTGCTAAACTATTTGCAATTGTAAGTACGAGAGGCGTTGATTTTATTATCGGGTGCGAGAGAGAAGAACAACCCCCATATAGGCTTCACCAAGATTTATTTTACCTCGACAACCATCGATACTGTCAATTACGGTTCGTTTATCCACGGTGTACCCATCGACTTGAGAATCATTTTTATTATTCTATAGGTCACGTAGTCTTTCGTTCTCGTTCTTCGTGCACCTCTAACCTGACCCTATCGACGTGTGGTGATTCAATGTAAACACAAACACCGCGATCGACCGTGGTTGCCTCGTAAAATTTGAATGGCCGCTCAGACTAAGCTCTTAGAACGAAGTACAAAAGCATTTTCGTACTCTTGTCGGTGTAATTTTGACACTAACCTAATTTGACACTAACCCAGTCATCGACGATATTACTTCCTTTCATTATATAAAATATAATTATATATTCATTTATTTTTAACAAATTGTATGGTCCAAACTTGTTAATATTAGCGTCAAAATAATCATTACATCGCCAGCAAATGAACTACATCGAGAAATTAAGCACGAGTGCCTTGTTCCTCAAGAATTTCATTATAAAATAGATTATTATTATGATAAAAAAATAATAATAGATTATATCACATAAAATTCTGTCCTCTCGTATTATAATTAAAGCAAATAGTAATGCCCAGACGTGTCGATAACTGGGACACTTATCTTACGGGATAATAAAACCAATCGAGATCAAAATAGCTAAAATACGTTGCTTAAGTCTAACGTTTAGGGGATCCATTCAACTTCGTTCGTCTCGTAATCCCTGGTAATGGCAGCTCTGGTGTGCTCTTCCGGTTTGCTGGTGGTCTTCTCTTCTGTTCCTCTCAGCTTGTGGTAAACCTTGCTCCCCGTGGAGGCCACCCATTGGACCCCGTCGCCGAGTTTCTCGCCAGCCTTGCGCACCACGTTGCCAAAGTTCTCAGCGGTGAACGTGCTCGGGTCCACGTTGATGTCCAGGGTGTTGTTGCCTTTCGGGCATCCGTTCTGAACGATGATGCTCAGGTCGTAAGGGTCGACGCCGAAGAGGCTTAATTTCGAACGTATCATGTCCACGTAGCTCTTGTCCAGCTCGGGGCGTCGGGAGAGGATAGTCGCGCTCTGACGGTGGGCGAACGCCAGCTTCTGACAAGTGAAGATGCCCGCGTAGTTCTCGTAATCGGTGGCGAAGATCACGTGGGACGCAGTTCCAGCTACGCCTGAAGATAAATTGCCTAGATTAATTTCTTTGGCACAGTTACAGTGGGCGTAGAATGTATTCGTACACTCATCAATTTCCCAAAAAACTTTTGCATGAACTTGTAGTTTCTTAACTTCTTTTTTTTTTTTTGTAATCAATGATATTTTACATATTCTCGGAAATCTCTAAGATATAGTCCAAACAATATTTACTAGTTAATATAATTTGTGAAGTTAACAAAAAGAATGCGAAAAGTGGGTAAAAGAATAGAAGCAACAAGTATTTGTTCTATTTAATTTGTTCAAGGTTTATCCCAGTAAGATTCTTATGACTAGACTGCGGATCTATATGCAAAATAAAATCTTCGCGAACGTGCCTACAAAGATCGAACCTACATAGGAATTTATTTTATTCTGCAAATATTACAACATGAACTTTACTGTCATTGTTTATCAAAAATAAGTTAATAAATTACAATTGTACATAGATTTTTCAGAAATTGGTCGGTGTACGAATACTTTCTACACCCACTGTAGCTAGTTTGTGCGTGATTTATACAAGACTGAGACCCCCCCCTCCGAGAACAGCCTGCAATTGACTCAAAATTGAACGAACGACGAATTAATTGCTGGTGCGTATATGATTGCAGAAGTTCTCCCCTACGTGACCTGACGTCGAGAAGATCGCAGACGAGCTTAATTTATTTGCATCTAATCACAGCACGACTTTATCGCGATACTTACTGAGAGGAAAACGAACTTGCATTCGGCCTGGCGTGCTCGGTTCCGGAACGGACAATTCACCGGTGTAATGATACTCGTGCTTCAATGGTGTAAGACCTGAGAACATATACATAGCTCTATTACGGATAATTCATCCCACTTGCCAGACAGTTATCCTATTGACATGCTTTTATGAGTACCGATGGGACCCAACGTTCTCCTGCATTCTCCTTTATTAATTTAAAAGCTTCCAGTAATATATGCAACGTCGCGAACGCGATCACAAAAGAAAACCTTGTCGTCCATTGTTCAGGATCTTTGAAAACAACACGTTACATTCCGTGATTTTATTTTTTTAAGCTTCTACGGGAAGGAGGCTAAAGAAATTCTTCTTAGAGACTGTCTGCCGTCTCTTTGTTTAATTATTTTTTCAAGGGACTTTTTTTAGACCTTACCTAGTACCGGGTGATCCGAATCTTGCGTTATCACGTACTCGCCCGGCTCCTCGCCGCGAGTGTAATTGTACGTGATGCATTTGCTGGCTGTGGACGTCTTCTGGATCACGTACCATATACCTAGGAACTGGAATACATAAAATAAATGAGCAATTTAAATACATACAAGACATTTTGCTGAACGTCTGATCTTCTTCGTTTTCAACTTACTCTATTCATTTGGAATCCTTGCATTGGCTCCACAATGGGGCAAGCGCCCATGTGGTAAGTGTGGGCTTTCGCGAAGACGACGCATCCCACCAGTAATAGTAAAGAAGATAAAGTCTTCATCTGCAAACAAAATGCCGATAGTACGTGGATTCAATCGAACACGAAATTACTTCGTACATCTACGTTATCGTTTAGATAATACCAGTTTCCGAGAATAGCGGGAAACCCTAACGCGCAATCTGCATATCAATATTTTTTAAGTCCACCATGAGAAGGAAACATTGCAACACTTTAGCTCCAATTTCCTTATCTTTATTTAAAAATGTTTAGACGTGATATCATCGTTGTTTACTAGAAGATAATTTACTCGAAACAATATTCGTTACAATGCTTCCGTATACGTTGATGAATTAATAGATTATTGAAATTATAAATTAATTTGAATATTTTTATATAGATATCGAGTAAGTAACTAAGTATTTATCTTGCGCAGTTCCTTTATACATAGAGTTCGTATAATAGCATGATTCATTCCTGCTGGATTTCAGATAATGAACAAAAAATTCTATCGGATATCTGGTAATTATTATCCCACTGTTCCACCGAATGAAACAACTCAAAGCGTATACAAGATTAAAGTCAACCTCGACGACCTCGGTTCTTGCCTCGTGAAGGCTTCTATATTTACAGAGTAAGACTCAGCTTTCACACGTTTACCATAAACGAATCGTGGACTATATGCCGTGTGTCACCGAGACGTTAATTAACATAGCGGAAGATGTAGAACCACTTACGCATGGGACACTTTGCAATCTACATTTATGTAACTAAATAACGGGTTAAGTACTCCGTGTGTGTGCATAATGAGGAAGCCGTTATCCGTAACTAAAACCTTCTATACCAAGTTTCGTATCAAAACAGGAATTTCTTTCATAAACTGAGAAGAAAAAAGTACAAAAGAAGTATATGACTTTCCCTCGACTTCTTTAATTTCACTACTAAATACGTTTCATACTACTTAATACGTTTTCTCAAAAATACTTTGTCGTCTCCGAAATCTATTTATTCGGTGCTAGCTTACGAATAAATACAATTAATTGAAATGGTGCTTTGAAGAAGTCACTTTTGATTGTGAGTTGAAGTATATACGCCGGCGTTAAGTACTTATTGAAGTCGATGACTTCTTCGAGTGATGCAGATTCGCACAAAACGCATAAATGAATGGAAATACAGTATACGATATTAAAACGTTTCGCGTTTAAAGCGTCAAAGAAAGTTTACTCACGGCGAAGTGATGTTGTCAGACTCTGAACTGGTACTGTAAACACTAGACTGAATGGAGGATTTTATGAGAGGTGCCCCACTCTAAATCCAATTGCGGGTCACGCACGCTTTGAATGAACTTATACAGCTCCGATCAAACACGTTATCCCCAAAGAATCTAACGAAATTGACTCACCTTTTCTATTGTCTCCTGCTAAACTCTATTTCTTCTTTCGAACTATTAAAACATTAAGCGACTCACAGAACAATAAAAAAAAAAAAAACGCAGTATTAGTCATTTGTTACAATTTTCTCACAATACTTGAATTAAGTTAAAGAAACAGAACGAAATAAAAGATCGTAGTTTTATATTTTTCTTTCTAATTGAAGTATTAAGATATTCCTAAAATATTACTTCCTGACACTTTTACGCAATTAAACAATTTTTTCTGTAGCATCCTAATATGAAATATTATAAACTGCCACCTATAGTCTGTAATACATGAAAAAAGAAGATGAGAATTCTTTACAGAAACTGGTTTATTAGTATCAATAGAAAAAGAAAGTGAAGATGCGGGTACCGCGTAATTTCCTTACACTGCTGCCACCGATGAGTCACTTCCATCCATAAGCGAGCTGGTTCTGAGAACAGCTAACATCACGTACGGTTTCATTGTTTTCCACGTATCAATATAACTCAATTTGCGCGGTAGTGGATAGTAGACAACGTCATACTTACAGTAAAGTAGCGGTACAATCTCGTTGAATACAGGGCTAAGATGGTAATACGATTTCTTGAGTACAAATCAGGGAACATTTTCGAATAAAATATCGTCGTTTATTTACGAATAAAAGTACAAAAGATATATTTTAATAAGCGTGTGGATTGTTCAATAATATGTACATGTGGCAGTAGAAAAATATCCTTAGTTGAGTTATTAATATCAAGCTGCTAATTTTCATAAATGCAGCGTGTACCGCAAATAGTGAAAAAGCAATTTTCCTATTTACTGTATAGTAGAGTAGTATCTAAATGCACTTATAGTTCCACAATAATCTTGATTCAAATCGGTAAACGCTAATTATAGAAAATAAGTAAGTTGTAACAGATATGTAATAGTGTCACGTAATATTATGAACGACTTGATCCCTTTCTATGCGGTAAAGATGAATTACTGAAATATCAAACTGTTACAGTAAACTTCTTGCTCGAGTATGCTGTGATGACTTATCATGACATGGTACGTTCATCAAAATTTTCATTCAGAATTCTGTCTCGAAACATAATATTAATATAAATATCGCAACGCGAAATGAAAGTTCCCCGCGTGAATTTCCCATATCAAATGAGCAAAGTCATAAAAAAAGAAATGCAAACGTATTCTTATACTCGAATAAATAAACTGTTTGAAATACCCTGAGACATATTCTCTATATAGTCACACGATTAAAACGTCACAATATCTGAGCAATATACAAGTATAGTTTCAGAGTTCTTCATACTCTATGATGGAGGCAGCTTGGATGTATCTAAATCATTGAAATAAGGGTGTTGTAATGCGGCTCGCGCTGATATTCTGTGCACTGGATCATAGATGAGCATCGCTTGCAAAAGATCAAGCCCATCTGCGTCTAACGTTTTAACCTGCGATTCCAAATTATTAGTTATCCAATTTGGAAATGTAGCTTTATAGTCCGTTAATTGCGTTACACCAGGCCATATCTCTTCAGTCGGAGTTCTCAGTATCCTTTAAAATAAATGTATTATTATTTTATGTTCCACAAAGATATAATCCAGCACATTGTGCACATCTTACCGAAATATTCTAAACAATTGATCAATCTCGCTATCTCCTTGAAATAGCGGTTTTTTAGTTGCCATCTCAGCAAATATACAACCTATGCTCCATATGTCAATGGCACACGAGTATCTGTTCGCACCAAGAAGAATTTCTGGAGCTCTATACCATAAAGTGACAACTTCATGTGTGTATATTCTGACAGGTATGCCAAATGCTCTCCCAAGACCAAAATCTGCTACCTTAATAACTCCCGATTTGTCAATCAATAAATTTTGAGGCTTTAAGTCGCGATGTAATATTCTACGCTTGTGACAAAAAAGGATGGCACGTGTAATCTATCAAAAATTCAATCGATGTTAATATCCCAGTACAATCATTTTGTATTAATGTCAAATATCATACTCTGTTTCCGAACCTGATATAAATAGGATTTAACCATTTTTGGTTCTAGCACTTTTCCAGGGCCTAAACTATCCATATATTTCTTTAAATCCATAGTAAGATACTCGAAAATAAGATATAATCTGGTTTCTTCCATTAACACATCCATCAGTCTAACAATATTGGGATGTGGTAACTCTTTGAGTAATGAAATTTCACGAATTGCTGTTGATGGCATTCCTTCATCGTCACTTTCCAAACGAATCTTTTTCATGGCTACAATTTCCCCTGTTTTCTTGTGCTTACCCTTATACACTACCCCATAAGTGCCTGTGGAATTCTTTTACTGTATTGCCTCTCATATTAGCGTACGGTACATAAAGAATCGTCAATGCCAATAATCTACTATATATAACAGAAATAGTTGCAAATTTGTGGATAACAGAGACGGTCAGAGCTCTATTCGAATAACAGACGATGGACAAAAGCAGTATATAGGGATTTATTTGTAATATTTATTCCACTGTACACCAATTTCTACTTTCAACTGAGATTAAAATTGTTTATCGCTCATCCGTATTTCGATATTTGTGTTTAAACAAGACTTTTGTCCATCTCTGATTAATAGTCACAATGTCTAGAAGACTCGACTTTCGATAACCTACACTAATAAACCGAAATTTTACAAAACGTGCAAACCACGCCATCGAATACGATCAATTATTGATCGATCTATCCTACACAATACGACACAATAGCAATTGAAAAAATCTGCGGATTACTGGTCGAACTTGGAATAAACGATAAGGGCGGAAGTAATTGAAAAAGCACGACAAAGCATCGTCAAATTCACCTTCACCGATTTTCTCGATCTTCACGAAATTCTCCATAGTGAATATACGCTCGTGAAATCCAAGGCTAGCTGAACTCCGTTCTAAACCGTGTCGCTCGAATATGTCCCTTAATTGATCAAAATTTCACATGTGTTTTCAATATGTCTCACAAACTTTCCAGTGTGCCGTCACGTAACGATCAAATTCAAACGTCGATACGCCATATTGATAAACATGTTTGAAAGTTCAGCGTTCGTATTGTCCGGTAACAGCTCGGCGTTGCTTCAACCAATCAGGGCGAACGTCGCCGTGGTAACCTGTGATGCTAGATTCTGCTCCCACTTTCGTTCAATTTTTTGAAACGCGCATGTGCAAGTAGGAGCAGGTGTTTCCATTAAGCCCGCGCTTTTTAACCTTAAACGTAAAACTTTCTTGAGGGTACACTTGAAGTCACTAGCACTTTGATGAAAACCAAAGATGGGTAAAACCCTAGGCTTCGAATCAGTCTGAAGTTTGGCAACGTGTTTGTCTCGCTTCTTTCTTTGGAAAATGTTCAAAAGAGGAAACGAGACAAACATATCGGCAAGCTTCAGATTTATTCGAAGCCTAGGGTTTTGCCCATCACTGATGAAAACTCCCAATCTAGGGATAACCAATGTTATAAATTGTGTCATAAACTTGTTATAATATCACGAGAACGAGTATGATGTCTATGAATTGATACAATCAATTTTGAAATATCCTGTACATCCCTTTATACGTTTTTATTTGTTTACAAAGTATAAAAGCACAATAAGTCGATAATATAACATTGCTCCATAATCGGTCAATTATTTCATTTAAATTGCAAAATGGAAAAAGACAAATGCATTTCAACTAACAATATCATTTCAGAGGTTTATTTTCGCATAATTGACATTTATATCAGAGGTTAGGTTTTGTTCTGTAAACTAAACATTCGTTATAGGTGCCTGACTCTGTTATCTATGTGCCAAAGTTTATTACTGAAGAGGAAGAAGCAGAAATTATAAAGCATATTAATCATGCTCCTTTACCAAAGTGGACACAGTTAAGTCATCGTAGGTTACAGAATTGGGGTGGGATTCCACATCCCAAAGGTATGATAGCAGAAGAAATTCCAGCTGTACGTATTTTATATATAATTTAACCTAGCTGCATTAATTTGCTCTCCAGTGTTCAACAATTATACTAATAATAAGTTTTCAGTGGCTTAGAAAGTATGTTGATAAAGTGTCATCTCTTAATGTATTCGAAAGAGATAAGTTACCCAATCATGTTCTGATTAATGAGTACTTACCTGGCCAGGGAATAATGGTATGCAAAAAGGTTTCATACGACCACGAATTTTTTATTGCATGTGTATTAACAAAATAACCAGTTCATACTATGAAATGCATATTTACCAGGCTCACTCAGATGGTCCACTTTTTGACCCCATTGTAACAACTATCAGTTGTGGATCTCATACACTTCTCGACTTTTACAAACGACTGGATACTACACAGGTTGGACAACTTAACTACCTTAGGGATCTTCTAAACGTTTCTCGTATATATACTTTTAATCCCCTTTTTTCAGTTGCAGCAACTTGACTTAGACTTCAGTCTTCTATTAGAACGTAGAAGCCTGTTAATTCTCCAAAGGGATTTGTATCATCGTTATTTACATTCAATTGCAGAAAGAGACACAGATATTATCTCAAGATCTATAATAAAAAATTTAAACATATGTAGTGAACAATTTCAAGAAGAACAGACATTAAAACGGGATGTTAGACTGTCTCTAACAATTAGACACGTTCCTAAAACTACTAAATTAAAGTTAAAAATTGGATAATATATTTTACACAAATGCATTGTTTGTATATGATTTACCCTACCTCAAGATGCCTCAGCTTTAGAAGGCATTGGAGTATCTGTATCCTCATAATTTTCTAAACTAACATCCATCATTTCCTCATCACACTCATTCAACATTCCTTGCAGAGAATGTATAGAAGAAATTAAAACATGAAATTGTTTACGTCTCATTTCCAATTTGTGTTCTAACTGTTCAGATTTTTCCTTTAACTTGTCTAATTCTTCGCGTAAAGTGGCAAGTTTCAAATTAGTTTGCACTCGATCTGGTTGTTCATTTATTACTTTTGCCAGCACGTCGTACTCGATTCTATTCTTTCTTACGCGTTTCGCGTCCTGCAACTCCACCTTTGTTTTTTCTATGTCTTTCTTAGCCTCCTCTATTTGAATTTCAATTTCCTTGGATAACTGTTCGTAACTCTTCAATTCTTCTTGACTCATATTCGAAACTAGTCTGGACTTTCGTTGCGCGAATTCACACTGAGCAAGTTGCGACAACATCCTCTCGTGTAGCGTGTTGTCTACATCAGGGCTATTTATCCACTTTATGAATGATTTCAGGAGCATATTTATCCTGCGATCATCTCCAGTTCCATCCCCGTCTATGAGCAATCTTCGACGTATTACCTCTTCTACGGATAAGCAAATTGAAAAGCAAATTAAAAAATGTAAATATTACTTGAGGTTATGGTACGGTAATATAAACGACTTACCGTCAGACATTTTAAACGTTGACAAAAATAACTGTTCAATAACGTTAATAAAATATTACTTGGAACCAATTGATGTAGCTTGTTTATTATTAATAGATCCAGTAAAAATTGTGTAACGTCGAAGGTTAGCTTTAAACACGCCGCACTGCATGTGTATAATTATTAGTCTAATACAACAGTCATAGGCAAAACCTTAGGCTTCGAATAAATCTGAAGTTTGCCGACATGTTTGTCTCGTTTCCTTCTTTGGAAAATGTTCAAAAGAGGAAATGAAACAAACATATCGGCGAACTTCAGATTTATTCGAAGCCTAGGGTTTTGCCAATCACTGTAATACAATTTGGGATGGAGTCCCTAGGTTAGGGACCCTAGCAGAGATTCCATCTAGCGACTTGAATTTGAAACTCTTTGATACTCCCTCTGTGAAATACTCATATGGTAAATAGGGTATGTTTAGTTTTAATTGTTACCGTATGGTAAGGTCTGTTTAGTTCTAATTCCTACCTTATGATAATGAAGGTTTAGTTTCCATTCCTATCGTTACAAGTGCTGTAACCTTATTCCATTTCCAATCGACAACAATGAAAATAGCTAGATCTAATAAATAACAAGTTGACCTTATATTTTTCCTTAACAAAATATGTATTTCTGTTCCCGATAAGACACTCTTTATCGAATTGCATATTTTTCTCTAAAACCAGCTCCTTTTATAGCTTAAACCGCAGTTAATCGCAACGTTGGTAGGGGAATTAAAAATGATATTCCGTTGAAATTATTTCGAATCACAACGAATTTATATTAAATAAACGTTTGACATTCGTTTCTTTTGGTAAAATGAAAAGAACAGAATTAGCAGTCTTAACAGAGATTACCAAGGAGCAGAGATAATGCCCCTCTCCCCGAGAAAAGTTATTAGGTCCCGCAAGACAGCGAATGCAGCGCGTTCCCGCTGGAATATTAAAATGATCCGCCATTACTTTAATAAACCTGTCTTCTTTGTTCCCTTCCTACGGGGCAACTTTTCTATGCTCCTCGAAGAATTTCGACGCAGCAGTCGCAGATGTCACTGTACCCCTAATGAGCGCGCTATTTTTCACCAGTATTTTTATCCCGTTTATTGGCTGCCCGTTTCACAAACTGTCAGCCCTGATATTAATCATCCCGCTGTTACGACTCTGCCTTTATTTCTTCTAAGGATAAAGAATGAAAAAGGAGGGGAAAGGGGGGAAAGGGAGAGGAGGGGGAGGAAAAAAAAACTTTCGCTCCTTCATTAGTAGTATTAAAACGGCTCTAATACAGCTGATTCCATTGAGCCAGAGATCCGTCAGTAGGATCATTCTTTTCGTGTATTAATTTTTTACTTCCTCCCCCGTGTCCATCGCGGTAAATGAATAATATTATTTGCAAGACGTTACGAATGACTTTATACAAGCCACTAATGTAGGTGGAAAGCTTTATTATCGATCTTTAGGATTTCGGATCAATCAGAACGAGCGCCACCTATAGAAATCCCCTCACGCTTAGGCGCAACGTACAAAAACCGCACGATTTGAATCTAATTACTTAACATTGGTCATGGATTTTCGAAATACCTCTGCTTGCACGTTTAGGTACTGCATTAAATCCCGTAAACGAACCGTTAAGCTCCAAAGGAAATAATGAATTTTATGGAGAACGATTTTTGAAAAAAAAAAAAAAAAAAAAAAGAAGGCCAGACACACCCGAAACAACGAAAACGTTCCGGAAGGTTTATCATCGTGACGTACGGGCCCATCGATCACAGAACGACAGGAAGCAAATACTGAAATCAGTGAGTACCGCGTGTAATTAGTATACGCGATAGAGACGTTGATGGGAGAGCGGGAGTTTTATTTTCCGTCTCTCCTACAGGGGGAGGAGGGGATCGACGGGGGGGAAGGGGGGGGGGCGTTTTCAATTTGAATACCGATTAATCTGGCCGAATAATCTTACCGTATATCCCCTCTGGCCGCGGCAACGGTCGTCCTCCGATATTCGTTTGAGGGCATTTTTTAAAACTAAACGTTTCACTTTATCGTGGCGCGCAGCAATTAATAATAACACGCAATCGGGCCGTATCTTTTATAACCTTTCCGTGTATAAATCGCGAAATTCTGGAATTATCAGGCAGCCAGGAATGAAAGGCTATTTCCGTCGCGCGGAATCACGGGCAATATTTTACGTGGGATTGGGGTTGAACGCGGACACATCGACGTTTGATATTTTTATGCAGTGGCGCCACCGCGGGGAGATTTACGAGGCAGATATGCGATCACAAAATGTCCGACACTAAATCAAACATGTTGCATCGGAAAACATCAGAAATTATTATTGGGACTTTTATGGGATCGACGGGAGCGAAAGGAGCGTACAATGTAACTCGACGAGCCGTTACATTGCGAGTATCTTTCGGTGGGATCTGTCGCGAAATGAACCGACGAGATATATTAGGGCCTGCGTTCCCTCCGTTTTTATAAACCGAGGAACCATGATGGCTACTCGTTTAAACTGGTAGAAAAGGAAACGAAATTAACCCTTGGCTCTCCTTTGGCTCCTCTGCGACGCCATGGCAGGTCTGCGCTAGGTTACTTGTGGGTAAAAATAAGGCAGTGAATTTTCTCGCGCATGCGTCAAATAGGTCTTCTTCCCTTAAGTGAGATGAATCCTAGCCTTCCACACTTTGTTTGTCTTTTAATTCTTTTTAAGAATTACTTAATGTAAATGTAAAATATACAAGGTGTCTACGTATAAGTCCGGACATACGCAGGTGGTCAATTCTACAACAAATTTCCAACAAAAAATTACTCTTAGACATCTCCCAGCCGCGTGTAGAGCCTGAGTGAGAGATGAATAATAATTGTTTTTGAAAATGTATCCATAGAATTTTTATTTCTAGAGACTATTTAATCAAAATCTACCTCGGTGTACCGATAAATGATATGGAGATCGCAACACGATCGATTTCACAAAGCAAAAAATCGATGTTTTCGGCACAGGAGATCGAATAAAAGAGTCTAAATTTGAAAAAAAAATAATGTATTGGAAAAAAACAAAACCTTGAGGTGTAAAAAAAACCAATCCTTTTCCTAATTGGGGAGACTCGGGAGTGTCACCAAAAAATACATCAAACCCGATGTCAAGCTAATTTTAAAGTGACAAGTTGATTTTTGTTGAAAAATGTCGATTTTCACCTAAAGACACAATGTAAAGTTTGACCTAATTTTTCACTTATTAAACCTACGTAATAAGTTCTGATTTTGCATCAGGGAGATGGAAAATTTAACGCTCTTTCGAATGGTGTACTGATTTTTAACTTTGCACTGTAATTTAGTGAACTTGTGGCCGTTTAAAGAGCGTCAAGTCGAAAACACAGAAAAAAAATTCAAAGTGAAAATACTCGAGAATAAGGCGACACAAAGAAAATGTCTAAGAGTAATTTTTTGTTGGAAATTTGTTGTAGAATTGACCACCTGCGTATGTCCGGACTTATACGTAGACACCCTGTATAAATGATATAAAAGTGATATAAAATAGCCACAAGCAGTGGGCAACGCGGTTTTCTTTCTCTTTTTAGCTGTTGCAGGGACGAAGGTCTAGCCCTCCTGCTCTATCTATAATATCTCTATGACTGTGGCGCGTCCATCGAATGCATTTATCTTTGTGACGTCACCGTGACGCACGAGTGGTTGAAATGATAAGTAATGATGTTAATAAATAGCGTAGAGTCTGCATCGGCGCAAACAGGGAATCGGCGAGTAGAGAGCCCCTCTCGGATCGTTGGATCAGGGGTCGCGCGTGAAAACCGGCCTGCATGTGTACTAATCGTGGCGGAAAGGGTGCCGTGAGTTATGAGTGCTCTATGATATCAATGCATCAATTTGACTAAACGAAGGATTAATTTAATAACAAGTCAGCAGATGAGTAGTCGGATGATAAATAGAGAAGGGAAGAACGGTAAATGATGTTTAGGGGTGAGAGGCTGGTGGGTGGTTGGACAAGGGGGCGAACTTACGCTGTTTTCTTTCCAGCTTCGATTTAACCATCCGCGTCCCTGGAGATGTATCGTTCTCGCTCTGGAAGATAAAACTTCTCGATTACTATGGAAAAGAGTTTGCGTAGCGCGATCCTTACCTAATTGTGCTTCTTTCGTTTCGTATTTTCCAGTCCATTGCAGGATCACTTCATCGACGATTTTGTACAGCCACAAAATATTTCGAATTGGTCGGAGGGCTCTCTGTAATATTAGAATTATGTTGGAATGATTACAA